TTGAGTTTCTTTTCTGGCTGGGGTTTTCTGTCATGCACATAGATGGATATACAGAGGGTGCTCAACTAATTGATTTTTAAAGTTCTCACACGGCCTTCAACCCCAGTGCATTTGTACGTACTCTGCTTGCAGGAGATATTCCTGTGTTGAGGATGCTTCTTAATGGTTCGCATTGATCAGGTGGATGCATCTTCTTGAGAACTGATTCCAACTTGGTTTGGAATCCTCATCTTCATGTACCATAAATGATGCTTCCTCCAATCAAGTAGAAGTGATACAGACTCCTGGGCCCAGAGAGGATGGAGGTGGGGAGCTATTCAGGGGTTGTCCAGGGGGCCCGTCTCCTGGGAGCACTAGCACACATCTTTGAAGCATGGAAAATGAGAAAGGCATAGTCATCAGGCTTCCAAAAGGGAAGGTCCCTGAACCCTTGAAGGTGGCTACAATTTCCTTTGGGACTTTGATTTGGCTAGGTTTTGTTCTGTGGGTCTAGGATGTGAACTGACATTCTTTGAAGAAGCCACACCTGTGTTAAAGATCCTGTGACTGCTAGAAAGTTGTGAATGTGGAGAGATGCAATGTTGTAGGCTGGGGTCCAGAACTACCTTGGGCTACCTCAGACCCTTTAGTAGCCAATTACCTGAACTTTTGTACCTTATCTAACATTTCTATGACTACTAGGTAAACGTCTCAGAATGTATTACTACGCTTAGCAGAGCTCCAGCCTCCACCAACTCTGCAGCTGAGGATGCTCTAAGATAACATCTAAAACATGTCAGAATTTCTGGTGCTGTGGGTTAGTAAAAGAATTTACAAGACAAACAAGTAAGAGAAGCCAGAGGTTTATTAGGACAGAGAGAAGCAGCAGGCAGTCAAGCACAAAGGATTGCTACTGCAGCACAGATATGAAGGTTGGGCAGGTTTATTTATGTAAAGAAGAGTAAACACAATCACAGAAGGGTGGGAGACTCAAGGAGTAGCACTGGGCTGGGGGGTTCCAAGACCTCGAACTTTTATTGGGGCCTTCGGAGATAAGGGTTATGTATCATTAATTCTCAGAGACTGAGCTGGGTGTCATCAACTCTTCCCACATGTCAGGCAGGAGGAGTTTTGGCCTTGGATAGTTGGGTGGGGGCTGTTATTTTCTGTGGGTTCCAGGGTCTGCAGGTCAGCAACACCCTGCTGTGTGTCAGAGCCATTCTGTTAAATGTCAGCAGTCTAGGATGTCATTTCTTATCAACATCCATGCTATGGTTCTTAGCCATTGGGTTTCTTAACTCTCTGCTTAGTCCTCATCCAAACCTAAGAAGATACTTCCCCACCTTGCTGTAACTGCATACTTGATGCTGCCATCAATGTAATTGGTAATAGTATTGGTTTGTGAATTTCTTTTATTCTGTGATTATAAAAGTTCATGTTATCTTTTCTATGGTGGAACATGTCGTTCAGGGTAGCCTGAATCTGTTACTGGATCATAGTGGCTCACATTTGGCTCAGAATAAATTGTTATCTCATTTCCTTTAAAGCACAGTTGTTGTTTTACCTTGACATGGGCCATAAGAGTTGGAATGGCTGGGTCATGAAGGAAAACCTTACCTCTCAGCCAGGAGCTCCCCTTCCACCGTTCCTAGGGCATTTGGCCTCTTCTCTTTTTCAAAGTAGGACAATTGTTGAAGGGATGTAGGTTCACAGGGGTCCACATCATTAGCTTCCTGAGCTTTTAGAACCCCTCCTACTAAGATGGCCAGCATACCTACCTGCTGTAGCTCAGCAGGACCTCTCTCTGATGAACACATTCCTTCTTTACTTTGTAAATGTCTATGTATTTGCTCAAGCATGAGCTTCTCCTGTCAGCCTATTTTCTGTTGCTATAACAAAATACCTGAGACTGAATAATTAATATAAAAATAGAAGTTTAGGGGCTGGAGTATAACTCAATGTTAGAACATGTGCTTAGTATGTGTGAGACCTTGAGTTCAATACCAAGCATTAAAACAACAACAACAACAGTAATAAAGTTTACTTGTCTCTTGATTCTGGAGGCTGGGAAGTCTAAGAGCATGGCACTGGCATCTGGTGAGGGCCTTCTTGTTGCACCACAAAGGGAGGAGGGCATCACATGGTGAGAAAGGAAGCTTGTAGTTCAGGTCTCTCTTCCTTTTCTTATAAAACCACTAATGCCAACTCGAGCCCTACTCTCATGATCTCTTCTAATCTTGGTTACTTGGAGGCCCCACCTCTAAATACCATTAACATGTGCATTTGAGTGTTGGATTAACTTTCCAATACATCAACTTTTGGAGACACGTTGAAATCATAGTACCTCTGGAAGTTTCTTCTGATTGTTTAGCCATCCCTTTACACAGATGGATATGGATGCCACTCCTCTGGCCATATGCAAAGCCATTGTTCCTTAATCATTTCTGGGGTGTCTGTCTCTGGCACCTGACTTTAAGTCTCTTGGGACAACAAACTCAGACTGTCTGGGCTCACTTCTGGCTCCACCATTTACCAGTTGGTTGCCATTGGCAAGTTACTTGCATTCAATATGTCTTGGTCTTTCCATCTGTAAAATGGATATGAAATAGTTCCCATCCATGTGGTTGTTGTGTTAGTTAAATGAGATAATTTAAGCAGAGTTTAGAATGGTGTTCCAAAACTGTTTCTATTGTTGTTATTATCATTCTCCTGACACTTCATGTGGTTCTTAGTGTTGAATGAGCGGCAGTGTTATACACACACTCAATAGCACAAGGGTTAAACCTTGCTTCTTTCCAAGATCTCATTCATCCATTGATCCTCACCAGTAATAAGGTCACACAGGGTCTTCTTTAGAGCACCTCTCAAATGGAAGTACCATAGAACAGGACTGTTTTATTTAGGGTTCTAACATCAGGGCTTGGAACAAAGTCTTACTCAAAATTATGTTGAATGAATGAATTTATGAACATATGAATTGAGTAAGAAAAGCAATTTTTGACCCCTACTGTACTCCTATGGGTGTCTCCCAACTTGCTCTTCCCTGTCTCCACTTGTGTTCATTTGATATCCCCTCTTCTGAGGCACCATAGACTTTAGTTTCTCCCCTTACCCAGTGTCCCTGTGACTGCAGCTTGCTGTGATGCCCTCATTGGTTCCCAGGGGCCTATCAAATAGGGAGCAAACTCAAGAGACAATGTGTTCACAGAATTACTCAGTTTACACATCTGTTTCTAGTCCTCTCATTTATACTCTGCAACAGTATATGAGAATGCCCTTTCCACAAACCCTGCTGGTCTCCAAAATCCTTTATAAGCTCCTCAAATGCATTTGAACTAATTTGGGAGCAAACTTCTTGGAGGGCAAATGGTGGCTCCTTCCAGTTTTATTCCCCAATGCCCACACTACCAGGAAGTCCAACTTCCTCTCCCAGTGCAGCCACAGTCCCCAGATGCCTCCTCAGGGTCCAGAGGGCCACTGAGGTGGACATCCAAGCTGTTAGAGTGGTGTTTTGAGGCGTCCCTTGTAGTTTGTTGTTGCTGAAAGACATGCAGCAACACTCTACACCAGGCATAAGTTCCCTTTTGATGGCCCCTGGGATTTGGGTTAAGTCAGAAATGTCCTCATGGAACAATGGAATGGTTCTGTCTCTCTGTGTCTTAGCCCTCTCATCTGTAGAGCTGTGACCTTGGTCTGGACTTGAGATACTTCAGCTGCAATAATGTGTGATTCTTCTGTGAAGCAGCAAGATACTTTCTTCCTGCTAAATCTTCAGAGCAGATATGTTACTCAGAATAACAGATACACTTCATATGAGAAAAATGGTCAGCCAACAAGAAGCTGTAACAGTTCTATTTGCTCAAGCACTTAGTGTCATAGTCTTAAAATACCTACAGCAAAAAATTGTAGGAAAAGAATAAACAAAATTAGAACCATAGTCATAGTGGGAGATTTTAAACACCTCAGTAGCTGGTAGAAATGAAATCAAAACTCAAACTAAATCAACCACACTAAACTAAAACAAACCAAACAAGGCAATGCAATAAAAAAGAGAATTACCTATATATAAAGTAGAAACAAAATGGTCTTACTATGTACATATTTAATTCTGCACTTAAAAAGGCAGAATACACATTCTTTTCCAAAAGCACAGAGATTATTGGTCATATTCTGAACAACAACAAAAAATAAGTCTCAGCAGATTTCAAAGAAGGGTAATAATAGAATGGACATTTTCTAGCTACAGCAGACTTGAGTGAGATGTTGATAAGAGAAAAGAAACTTAGAAAATCAACTATGATTAGAAATGAAACATTAGAGTGATTATAGCCCAAAAATATGTCAGTGGAAATGAAAACAGGTTTGGAAACTAGCAATTGGCAGATCTGACAAGGAGGATGGAGTCAGATGGACTTTCTGGTGGAGAAGGACCTGGGCAGTGGGGAACACAGCCTCTTACAGACCCTTCTCCTCTGTTGGCCACACACCTGTACTCCCTGAGCCCAGCTGGTGGTATGGGCTCTGTCAAGGTCACGGGCAGGCTTGGCAACTGCTTCCACCCACTAGGGGTGGGCTCACCCTAGCTCCCAGAGTTCCTGTGACCCTGGCATTCCTTGCCCTCCCTGTGTAAAGGCAAGCATGGTGAGTACAGGACACTCCAGGAGTGGGTTGTAGCAGTGAATGGCAGCTGTCCTGGGAGCTCTGTGGCACAGTTTGTGGGAGCAGCCTTGAGGAAGTGCAGGCAACAGGTATGTTGTATGATTGCTTGCGGGTCTGGGGCTGGTGTCACCAGCAGGCAGAGCATACCACCTGTTCTGCCTTCTGCTTGGGAATAATGAGAGGGACAAGGTGGAGGAGTGGAGATGAGACACTGGATTGAGGCTCTGATCAAAAGAAGGCTGTCAGCAGCACAAAGTCTCAGGCAGGGCCATGTGAAATCCAGAGCTGGGAGGGCGTCACCAGTTGCAGCTGCTACTATCCTTTCTACCTGTGCGTCCCCAGCTCCAGTGCTGACTTTGAGGACAGCCATGTTGTGGAAGGTACCCCTGCTAATGGGACTTATCGTGCTGGGGACCCATATCTGGACGATTCAAAAAGAATTTGTAGACATTAGCAAGAACCTAGACTATTTTATGGCATCAGTGGAGTATGCTGTGACTCAGTTCAATGATGACAACACAGAAGAGAACACATACAGGTTGCTGGAGATTGGGCGAGCCCAGAAAAAGGTGAGTGGCAGTCACTGTGTCCATCCTAGAGCACAGTCCCCACACAAAGAGCCCTGAGTCAGGTGCAATCACAGGCACTGATGAAAGTTGTGGGTCTGCAGTCCTTTACTGCAGCTGCCAGTCTGTGGGTCCTCTCTTCTGCCCAGGGACACAGCTTATTCCAGGTCTTTCCCATCCCCTTAAAGAACCCTCAGCCTTGAACTGATCTAAACCTTGAGCCCAGGATCACAATGGCCATCAGTACCCATCACTATACCATCTCTACTGATGTTGCCCAGTCATGGAGTTGCAGACCTGTCTCCCTGTGTAGGCAGATGTGAGGGAATATATGTGAGTGTACTGTTGGTGTGCATCAGACACAAGTGCATGAGAATGTTGTTGGTGTATGTCAGGTGTGAGTGTGTGAGAGTGTTGGTGTGTGACAGGCTTGAGTATGTGAGCATGCTATTGGTGCGTATCAGGCATGAGTATGTAAGTATGTTGTTGGTGTGTGTCAGGTGTGAGTTGGTGTTGGTGTGTATCAGGCATGAATTTGGGTAAGTGTTGCTGCTGGTATGTGTTGTTGGAGCATTAGCACAAAAGTATGGTATGTGTTTGGTGTGTGTTGGACATGAGCACAAGAGTGTATTTGGTGTGTGTCAGGCATGGGTGGGTTTTGTCACCTATGTGGATTTCTGAGCCTCTAACTGAGCTCTCTGGACAATTTCCAGGTCAGTCAAAGGGACACAGGTTTCACCCTGGGAGGATTTCCTGGGTGGATTTGTTTTCTCTCTGTGTTTGGGTGCTTCCTGAGTTTTCATGGTGTTCCACTTGAGGAAATGAAAATCACTCTTAATAACCTCTCCAGATGTGCGTGGTGCTCATCCACATTTACTTCAGTGAACACTTGCAAGGCTAGCACTTGCAGGCAGTCAGCACCCATGTGAAAGAGTCTCACAGACTCCAAAACCGCCCTTGCTCCAATCTAGATTTCATCTCCTAAGGGAGAGTGAGTGCACTCTGCTTTCTATTATCAGGCTGAGTCTTACCCATTTTCCTGTTCTATGTGAAGGGATCCACTCAGCCTGGACACCTGTGTCTGGCTAATGCTGATAAGGTTCATATTTGGGAGTCATCAAATTGTCAGGTGTGGCTGTAGCTTGTGCAGGATTTGCTGTTGTAGTATTCATTAGGTGAATTAATTGTGTGAATATGGCACATCCAGCATATCATCACCCTATATACTTCCAGGTCACTGAAAAGAGTGGAGGGAAAAACTCTAGTGCATGTCATGTCATAAGTGTGCTCACAGACACGTTTCTGTTTACCTAAAGAGATCACATGTGAAATGCATGTGTTTATTTATAGGCACATGCATATTCCAGTCTTCTGTAATACTTTCTACTTGCCTTTCAGTCTTTTTGTTTCTATTCAAGAAAAACAAATATTTAGTAGCTCTTTGTGTAATTTCTTCTTGACAGACATGGACCATGATATTTTTAATGGACTTGGATATGGGCCGCACAATTTGTAAAAAACATGATGAAAACACTGACAATTGTCCCATGCAAGAAGGCCCAGGAGAGAAAAAGGTTTGAGAATAAAATCAACCCTAAAGCATCACAAGTCTTTTTGCAATAAAAACTAATATCAAGGAAGGCCTGGGGGAGGCTTAGGAAAGACATTGGGGTGATCCTGACGCAGAATGAAGCTACCTGACTCTTCTCCCACCCGGTCTCAGATTTCCCCCATGGGAGACAGAAGAGGGTCATCTTAGGCAGATAGAACTTGGCTCCCAGCCCTGGGCCCAGCTTTCTATTCACAGTCTAGCTGGCTGACTACAGGCACAGATGTGGACTTCACCTTTGAATGAAACACTTTCTCTGGTCCCAGCCCCGTAACCTTCTAAGACTCTGGGAGTACAGGAAGATGCTGCTGCTCCTGTGGTCGTCATGGCCTTGGGGACTAGGAGTTGTTTAGTTTATCTGCTCAGCCAACCTCTCCTTCCAGTTTCTCGGTCTTAAAAATGATACCTTGTGAGGCTGAGGTCTGATATTGTCATCCTATGAGTGACAAGGTGATCCGTGGGATCTGGGAACTTCAGGATGGTTTTCTATCAGGGGAATGCTGTCGGTGGGTGATCCCACCCTCCAATCAACAGTCATGGAAGCCAGTCTTTCTCTGAGTGAGTTTGTACTGTTACTCTGTTGGGGAGTCTGGCTCTCTTAGAACCCTTGGGGTAGGGACAGTTCATCTAGAATCATGTGTGCTGGGGAGGCTGTGGGTGGACAGGATGCTTCAGGGGATAGGTGATGACCCACAGGAAGGCATGTTCTCAAGAGCCCCAGAGCTCAGGTGTGGGGATTCAGCAACTTTTGCCCACTGTCCTGGTCAAACCTTGCCCCGTCAAGTGAACATTTTTACCTTTCTTTTTCTTCTTCTCAGTGATCTTCGTGCATTATAATTTTATAATTTGTGTGTTGTAATTATTATCTTTCAGGTGCACTGCACTTTTCATGTGGATGCCCGACCTTGGTTTTCCCAGTTCACTCTTCTGTACAGTTCATGCAATGCAGACGTAGGAGAGGACAGGGTCCCTGTCCAATCTCAGCTGAAACTCCCTCTTCCTCTGGAGTGTGACAGTCTGTAGTCTGAGATCTGTGCAGCACCCATGTAATTAAAGGCATCTTACGGCACTTTTTGGGTCCTTGAGCAGTTTTGGGCTTTTCTGTATTGTTTATTTGCCATGGCTGTCACTGTCAGTGACAAGCAATGGAGAATTTATTTTCACTATTATTATTACCTTGCCTGCAGATGCAGAGTGCTGTGCAAACCAGAACAGTTTATATGAGGTGGTTCATGTAGAGCTCCACTGATTGGTTTGTGCACTTATTCATTCGTTCCTCTCTCCATTCCTGTCTCCATTCATTCCTTCATCCATCCCTTCATTGTATTCATTCAATCATTCATTCATTCATACTCCAATTTCTCCATGCCTTTGACCCATGTAATCAATGAACGCAGAACTCAGGCATAGTGATACACTCATGTTGTCCCAGCTATCTGAAGACTGAGGGGTGGGGGGATCATGTGAGCTTATAAATTAGAGAGTAGTCTAGGCAGCAAATCCCATCTCAAACAAACAAAGAAACAAACAGCCCAAAACCAAACAGTAACAACAACCAAGAAGAAGGAACATAGAACATTTTTCCATGTCACACCTGCTTGCATCTTCTCTGATTCCATCTCAGGAATCAGAATCACAGTGGACCACTCTTCTACAAGGGGACCAGGTGCAAGTGTAGGGATGGGGAAGGTAATGGCAACACCTGAAGGCTCTGCCCTTTTGGACACCATAGGCTGCCTGACAGGCTTAGAAGGCAATCTAGGATCCTAGTGGAAGAGGTTCAAACATGTTTCAGTAAATGACAGATCCATAGAGTAAAAATAAAAAGAGATACACAAAAATTTAAGAATCTATTAAACAAATTTGATTTTGTATCATTTAGAATATTCACCCAACAACTTCAGTATAGGCATTCTTTTTTGAATATATAGATTTATCAAAACTGAACATCATCTGTTCATAAAACACATTATGAATTCAAAGAACTATTACCACACACATTGTGTTCTCTGGCCTCAGTGAAATTTAGGTAGAAATTTAGAAGAAGTGATTGAAAATTTGGCTACATTCCCTTAAATAGCACTAGGGCTAGAGAAGTAATTCCTGTGCAGATTAGGATGTCCTTTTGAAAATATATCATTGAAATCTTCCAAAGTAACAACCATGTTGATGCTGTTGACATAGGACTTCAAGGAACATGTTATAAATGGGGAAATGCACTCACTGGAAGGCAGACAAGAGAGTAATTGATGCCCTAGGTTTCTATCTCAAGAACCAAAGAATTCCCACCTGAACCTGGAAAAAAATAGGAAGGGGAGTTATAACAAATATGTTAAAGAGAAAATAAAAGTGGATGGAAAGGACAGAGAAATCCAGTGGTCAGTTCTTTGGAAGATATAATAAAATTGCCAACCTTGGGCAAGAGAGATCTAGAATTGGAGAGCAGTCACAATGCATACCTGCAATGAAGAAGGGGTTTCATTGTAGATCTGGCAGCCTTAGAAAGATAGCAACATATGGAAGTCAACCTGCTGCCAGGAATGGTGAAGATAAAGAACTAGGAAACTACAGCTTCTCAGGTGGAAGGAAGCAAGGGCCCACACATGCTCTGAATGAAGCATTCTCAGTGGGATAGACATCCCCTGCTTTCTGTAGGCCTCCATGCTATCATTGTCCACTGGTACACTAGGCTGTCTTTGGAGATCATTTCCTTCCACCTGGAAGCTGCAGGAAGGTGTTCACAATTGTATCCATCATTCTGTCTATACTGCCATCTCTTCCTGTGTCAACCCCAGTTCTGCCCTTACAATCTGTCTCCCAAGTCTCTGGTTGGGTCCCTTTATGGGATCATCAGAATTCAGGTGTCTTGATACCCCAGGCGGGGGGAAATCATTTCAGTGTGAGCACCCTCCCCAACTTTGGCAGCCTCTGGATCTTCCAGCCTGCTCATCCATTGCCTTGTTTACTTCCTGGAAGTTTCTCCAGGAGGGAGGCAAGGCATGGATCAGATCCCTAGAGAACAGTCTGACAGATGCATGAAAGCCATGCAACTGCCAAGTGGCAGAGCTGAGTGAGGGTGCATAATAGTTCATGCTCAGCTGCCACCCCTTCCCCAGCCATTTCTAAGACCACAGCTGCCATCCATTTTCACCCCCCAGAGCTACTATCTTGGACAATCTCTCCCTCTTGTCTTGGGAGTCTCACCACTAAGCATAGGCATGCCCAGGCCTCAGAGAAGGAGGGAGAAGTGGCAAGTTGCCAACAGACATAGAGATGGGGGAGGGGACAATCCTGCAGTCCTAATGCTGTCCCCTCACTCTGTACCCTCCTGAGGCTATCTGAAGGCATGAGCTGCAGCCAAAGTCACAGACACCTACTTCTTACCTCAACTTCCCAATACTCACCATATTTGCTCTTAAGAATTCCTGTGGCTCTGCCAGTCCTGGGATATGTGGGGGTAAACCAGGTTATATCAGAAGAGCAGGGATGGAGATATGCAGGCAATGGTATGTTGCATGAATGTCTGTGGTTCCAGGTCTAATGTCACCAGGGATTAAAAAATGTGACCTCCTGATCTGCTTTCTGCTTAGGGATAATGGGAGAGACAAGGTGGGGGAGTGGAGAAAAGGCATTGGACAGCAGAGCCAGTCAAAGGGAGGCTATTAGCAGCATGTGACAGCAGCATGGATCCTCTGGTGGGCAGGGCCATGTGGGATTTGGAGCTGGGAGGTTATCACTGGCTGTAGCTGCCAACACCCTTTCCACTTAAGTGACCCTGGTCCTGAGTTCTGACACTGAGGTCAGTCATGTTGTGGAAGGTACCTCTGATGGTGGAGCTCATTCTTCTGGGGACCCACATCTACAGTTGTGAATTTGTAGACATTGACAAAAACACACAAGGTTTTGCCATTTCTGTGGAGTTTGTGGTGCACAAGTTTAATGAAGACCAGGATGATGAATTTGCCTACAAGTTTCTGCGAGTCCGGAGAAGCCAGTACAAGGTGAGTGACCAAGTATCCCTGTGCAGTGCCCATATTTGCCCTGAAATATGGCAGGGCTAGGGTATCCTCTATCTGCAGGAAAGATCAACTGAGTTTTTAATTTGGTAAATGTTAAAACATCAACAAAACTCATAAAACAAGGTATTGCTAGAGGAGCTACAGTTTTGTCTTGTTTTAATGTGTGTGCCCCCTGAAAAGCAGGGCAGAAATAATGAAGGGAGCCTCACAGAAAGGAAGCATCAACATTTAAACCTGAGCTCAGTGTGAGAGAGAGGGAAACAGGGATTCTACTGCCAGAAGAGCAGAGAATGTCAGGTGGTGAGAAGCACAGGAAGAGCTGCCAGCAGAGACAAAACCCCACTCCAAGGACAGCAGCAGTGAGTCTTGGCTGAGATTACATTTATGCCAGTGGAGACATACAGGGACCTGTTCTCATGGGCTGCTTTGCTAGGTGAAGACAGAGAAAAAGGCACACCCAAAATCCACCAGTGAAAATTGGGCACTGGGACAGATGGGTCCCATAGTGATGCAAGGTAATGGGAAGAGAGGAAGGTTGAGTGGGTAGTCAGGGAAGACCCCTCTCTGATAGGCATGCCTTGAAGGACCTCGTCATGTGGAGGTTTGGGGAACAGAAATACAGGCAGCCAAGGAATACAGGCAGCCAAGGAGAGATTCCTGAACCGGGATGAGCCAGGTGTACTCAGGGAAGGAGGTGCTGAGGTTCAGGTGTGCAGGGGGAGGTGGGGGCTGAGGAGATAGGATGCTAAACTCAGAGTGCCAGGAATCCACTGCCTAGTGTTCCTCAGATGCTTGCTCTTTGGATGCTTGCTGTGTGTCAGTGGCCCACACTGCCCCCCAGGAAAGCCTGAGACCAGCCCATAGAAGATGGTTCCCTAGTCACCAGGAGGTGGACATTGGGGCAGATGTTGGTGTGCTGATATGGGTATGAGACATGAGTGAAGGTAAGGAGGGACCTTAGGAGTTTGTCCTGAGTACAAGGGTGGGGATAATGGAGTGATAATAAAAGAGGAGGGAAATCAAGCAATCTGGGAAGATGATATCACACTCAGTAGCCCTCAAGCATTCCTGTGGAATGGTCATGAAGGTGGTTGATTATAATACTTCACATATATGGACAAGGTTGACCCTACTAAAGGGAAGCTTTCCCATTGAGGTCTGTTCTCATCCCTCCCTGATTCTTTTGACGCAGTCACTGTGTCCGTCCCAGAGCACAGTTTCCATCTGAAGATATCTGAGCCAATTGGGACATTAGTAGGGACTGATAAGGAGGGTCCCAGGTCTGCAGTCCCTTCTGCAGACGCAGATCTGTGAACCCTTCCTCCTACCCATTGATACACTTTCCCCAGGTCTTTCCCATTGTCACACTGATTCCTCCTTGGGCTGATCCTGATCCTTGGCTTCTGGGCCACAGGAATTAATTGGCCCTGACAGTTTACCACCTCCACTGCTGCTGCCCAGCTGCAAAACCTGGGATCCAGCTCAGTGTGTGGGCTGTACACAGAGGGCCTGGCATAGGTAAGGGAGTGGAAGTATTAGTGTACATTGGGCACGAGTGTGTGAATGTGTCAGTGTGTCAGGCACAGGTGCGTGAGTGTGTGCTGTGTGTCCAACATGAGTGCATAACATTGTGGGTGTCATCATTCCCCTGTGTGGATTCCTGAACCTCTGAGTCAGGTTTTTAGACAATTTCCAGGTCAGCCAGTAGAACCTATGCCCCAATCTAGGAGGATTTCCTGGGTGATTTTGTTTTCTCTCCATGTTTTGGTGCATCCTGAGTTTTCACAGACCTTTATTTATGGAAATGAAATAACTTTTAGTAACTTTTTATAGGACCAAAATAAACATTCAGGATGGCATGGTACACTTAATAGTCACCTTAATGAGTGTTTGCAATATAGTGTAGTGAGTGCCCAGTGAAAGATATAACTTCCTGGTTGTCAGTAGCATCCATGGCTCTGCTTGTGGATAGCGGGCTGTCCTACCAGATGGACTCCTGCTCTGTGTAAAGTTAGCCATACTGCAGGGAGCTCTGGGCCTGACACACTCTACCACTATACTATACCTCAGCTTAATGGGCATTTTTTTATACAGAAGTGGAGAATTAAGAGGAAAATTGACCCAGCACCAGTGTCTCATGCCTGTAATTCTAATTACTCATGAGGCAGAGATAGCAAGATGGATGTTCAAGGCCAGCTCTGTGCAAATAGTTTACGAGACCCTATCTCAAAAAAACCCAACACAAAGAAATGGCTGGCAGAATGGCTCAGGTGGTAGAGCACCTGCTTAGCAAGCATGAGGTCTTGAGTTCAAACACCAGTGCTGCCAAAGAAAAAGGGGAAAAATTGAAATAAATTAAAAAGTAAGAGACTGGGCATGGTGGTGTCTATAATCCCAGCACTTGGGAGGCAGAGACAGAAGGATCATGAGTTTGAGGCTACCCTGGGCCACATAGCCAGAACCTGTCCCCAAGAGAGAAACGGAGGTAGAGAAGGTCAGTGAGAAAGAGAGAGAAGAGAAGAGAAGAGAGAGAGAGAGAGAGACAGATTGTGTATGATATCTACACTCTTATTGATATGCATATGTATTTTGCATGCTTTGCTCATGCTTCTATTTGGTTCTCTTTGTTTTACTCATCCCACCAGAGTATCTCATAATAGTTCATACAATTTCTTCTTGACAGATACTGTCTTCTGTGTATTTAATAGATGTGGAGATGGGCCGTACAATTTGTAAGAAACATGATGAAGACATCGACAATTGCCCTTTGCAACAAGGCCCAGGAGAGAAGAAGGTTTGAGAATAAAATCACTCTCAAAGCACCATAAGTCTTTTGGCAATAAAAACTAATGTTAAAGAAGGCCTGGGAGGAGGCTTAGGAATGAGGTCAAGGTAATCCTGGGGCAGAAAGAGGCTGCTTCACCCCCTTCCCACCAGGTCTTAGGGCTTATCACTGGAGACACAAGGGAGTCATCTTAGCCAGACAGAGCCTGCCTCCCAGCCCTGGGCCCAGCCCTCTGCTCACAGTCCAGCTGACTGACTATGGGCAACCTGCAGACATCTATGTGGCCTTCTCCTCTGAATGTAGCCCTCCTTCTGGTCCCAGCTCAGTACCTCCTTAAGACTCTGGGGCTTCAGAAAGATGATGTTGTCCTTTTGGTCCTCACTCTTCCTTTCCTCATGTCCTTGGGGATTGGGAGTTATTTAATTATCTGCTCAGCCAGCTTGCTCTACTTTCTGTGTCTTAAGGATGATTCCTGGTGAGACTGAGTTCTAACATTGTTATCCTATGAGTGACACATGATCCATGGGATCTGGGAGCTTCAGAATGGTCTCTAACAGGGGAATGCTGTTGGTAGGTGATTCCCACCCTTTAACCAACAGTCTTGGGGGCCAACCTCCTTTTGCGTGAGTTTATACTATTGCTCAGTTATCGGGTATCCAGGGGAACATCTCTAGGCCAGTCTTCTGGCTCCCTTAGAACCCTTGGGGCAGGGGAAGATCATTAAGAATCATGTGTGTTGGGGAGGCTGTATGTGGACAGGATGCCTCAGGGGGCAGGTGATGGTCCCCAGGTGCCTTCTCAGGAGAACCAGGGCTCAGGTGGGGGATCCAGCACTGTCCTAGTGGAGCTTTGGGCTTTATAAACCCTGCACCCTGGTGACTCTTTTTGCTTTCCTGCCCTTTCCTGTTATGTTTTCATTTTTAATGCATCTTGAGATTCCACTATAAGCTAAATGATCTCAGTGTATTACATTTTTCTAATTTTTGTGTTACAATTACTATTTTTTTTCCAGGTGCGTTGTACTTATATTGTGGAAACTGAAGAATGGTTTACCCAGTTCACCGTCCTGAACAGCACCTGTCAGCATACATAAGTGGGGACAGAGCCCCTGGCGGCCCACAGCAGAATCCCCCCTCTTTCTCTGGAGTGTGACAGTCTGTAGTCTGAGGTCTGTGTAGCACTAGCACAATTAAATGCATCTCACAGCAGCTTCTGGGTCACCGAGTAGTTTTGGGTTCTCCTGTTTTGTTTATTTGTAATGGCTGTCCCCATCAGTGAGAATTTATTTTCATTATTATCACCTTGTCTACATGTGCAGAGTATAAGTAACTTTTATGAAGCAGCTCTTCCTTTATTTGATGGTCATATTCATTTATTCTTCTATTATTTTATTCATTCATTCTCACATTTCTCCATACCTCTCACACTTGAACTCAGAAAGAGTGCAGACAATTTTCCCAGGCAACAGTCACTTGCATCCTTTCTGTTCCTTTCTTAGCAACCAGTTCCCCCACCCACCCCCTGCTGCGGGCAGTCCTTTAGAGGAGCCAGTAAATGAAGACATAACTGGCACTGACAGAAGGCTCTGCTCTTATAGACACTTCAGGCTGCCTGATTGGCAAGAACATCTTCACCAGGGCTAGGATGACAGCTTAAAAGACAATGACTCTGGTCTCCATGTCCCCATCTGCTCTCTGATGCTTGTGTTCTTCATCTGGGGCCCATCCTGGCTTTTGTGGTGTGGCTGTCAGCACCACTCAATGTCCCTAAGAGAGGTACTCTGATGATAGACTTTCATGCTGAAGAGCAAGTCTCTCTCCACACATCCTAGTGGTAGTGAAGCCTTGGAGGGGAAAGAGGGGAGTGGTAACCTGAGTGTGGCAGAGAGGTAGTGGCAATGCTTTCTGGAAGAATTCCAATCCTACCTCCATCCTGGGTCTCTGGTCAATTTGAGTGACCCTTGACAGAAGCTGTCTCCTTCTCTGGCCAACCTGTCCCCATGAATTTGTCATAGTGTTGATGGGAAAAGATGTTTGGAAGTAGCTCTGAATAGCTCCTTGATCACAGCACAATTACAGTGCCGTGCACCAGCTTTGGTCCTTTGATCTCAGTGTAGGAATTGTACTGTTTCCCCACTCTGGTAGGACTATGTTTATATTACCAAGTTGTGGCTGTGTGGTGAGCAAAGTTAGTTGTTTGTTTCTGTCCCTTGGCATCTCTCTGACTTGGCAGGGTGGAGTTCTTATTCATGAACCCCATCCTCTTTATACAGGACTCAACCTATGCACACACGTCCATTTTCATATACCACATGCACATCATCCATCAGCCCTCTGCCTATTTTTCATTGTTCATAGATCTCCTGGTCTTGATTTATTAACCCCATTGACCTCATCCTCATTGTTTATATATCTTACGCCCATTTTCATAGTCTTATGACTGTTCACAGGCCCCATGGCCATGTTCTTGGATCTCTGCCTATTGGTCATGACCTCATGCTTATTTTAATGTATACTTTCCTCTTTGTCCTTGGATAATGAGCTCTGGTCTGTTTGCTCACAGTAAGGAACACCTTCACCTCCAACTTCTATTTTACTTCTGGAAGGCTTGGATCCTGCTTTGTTTTTGTAATGTGCCAGTTGTTTTTTTTGTTTTTTACTGTGAGCTACACAAAATTCTCCTTGATTTCATTTTACATGTCTCTTAGAAACCAGCCAAACCCCTATACCTAGTATAGCAGAAAGTTTGTGACCCAATATTCAAAACACATAAAAACATTGATTGATCAGCTTTTGTGGCCAAAGTTGTGAAATAGCTCTCTGGGGAACTCCAATATTTTAGAAATTGTGTTAATTGCAGTTAGTATGCTTTGTCCATTCCTGTGTCTGACTTCTAATTCTAGCTCTCACAAAAATGAAAACCATGGTCCCATTGTGGACTTCACTGAGCTGATGCTCAGAGCTGTGTCAGAGTCATTGCTAGAGTTGATAAATTTTGTGCTGCTACCCTTGTCATGTGATGAACCCACATTAGTAGATTTGTGATGATATCGGTATGTTGCAGAGACGTGCAGTTTGTGATCATTGCAGCACTGTTCACAATAGCCAAGATGTGGAATCAACCTAAGTATCCATGAGCAGGTGGATGGATAAAGGAAATATGGTGTATTTATAATGGAGTACTATGTAGCCACACCAAAAAAGAAATCATGGCATTTGTGATAGCATGAATGGGCCTTAAGGACAGTATGCTAAATGAAATAAATCAGACACACGAAGATACACGGGAATACTGCATGATCTTACAAGTAGAATCTAATAAAAAATCAAACTCATAGTAACAAAGAGTAGAATGATATAACCAGGAATTATATCATAAGATCATAACATCATAAGATAAATAAGTACTAGAGACCTGACATACAGCATGATGATATACAGTAGTTAATAATAATGTATTGACTACTGAAAATTTTCTAAGAGACTAGATCCAAAGTATTCTTACCACAAAAAAGAAAAAGCTATGTGAGGTGCTGGATATGCTGATTAGCTGGATTATGGTAATCATTTTACAATGTATAGATATGTCAAAATATCACACATAGACTCCATATATATCCAAATTTTATATCAGCCATAAATCAATGAAGCTGGAAACAAACAAATTAAAAATAGAAAATAACAACCTTAGCTCTGGCACTCAAGTGGTAGAGTGCTTGCTTAGCAAGTGCAAGGCCCTAAATTCAGCCCCCAGTACCACAAAAACAACCAACCAAACAAACACCCTTGCAACTATCCCTCTAACCATGCAAAAAAAACCCATAGAAACCCCAAAAGGAGAGATAATGGAGCTAGATTTTCTAAGATTAAAGGAATACAGAAGACCTTGAGTATAAAGGCTTTGTTTTAGTAAGCCACTGCTACATAAGAAACAGTCTCCATTATATACTGGTTCTATTTTAAATTTCTTCAGGAATGTTGACACTAATTTCCACAGAAATTCATTTTGGCATATATAATCAGAGAAGATGAAATGGGTTCCTATGTTCATTGTAGCATTGTTCACATAGTGAAGATATGGAAACAACCCAAATGCCTATCAATGGATAAAGAAAATGTGGTATATACACTCAAAGGAATACCATTAAGCCTTAAGAAAGGAAATCTTGCCATTTGTAACAACATGACGAATGTGGGAGGCTTCATGCTAAATGAAATAAAGCAGACATAGAAAGGAAACTATTTCATCATCTCACTTACATGTGGAATATATATAGGTGCATATATGTATACATATATATATATATATATATATGTATATATATAGTTGAACTTGCAGAGATAGAGAATGAAAAGTTTGCCACAGGTGGAAGGAGGGAAGAGGTGAGATCAAAGTGTACAAGAGAGCAGATCTGTGAGATAAACAAGTCTAGAGAGTTAATGTATAATGCGAAGACAAGAGTTAATAATAGTGTATTCAGATTTCTATTAAATAAGTAGATTAGAGCTGCTCTTGTCACGGGGAAAATGGGTAACATATATGAAGTGGTGGATATGTTCATTTATCCCATTATAGTAACCATACTATTATGTATATATATATATATCTTATAACATCATACCTTCAATACACATTATAAAATTTATTTAAAAACAGAAACAGCCTTAATCTCCTTAGCATACAGCAATAGGCATTTAGTCCTTCCTGACAAGTGTATGGAATAACTGGAGAAACTTTGAATATTTTCAGGGAAAGCCAGTCCTAAAAGTTTCTAGGCAACAACAACAAGATGAGTGTGTGTGTGTGTATGCATGTGTGTGTATATGTACTTGTGAAGGCCAAAAGAGTATGAGAGAGTTTGAGGCAATTAACCACCATATGTTTCTCCAAAATCTAGACCTAGAAATACTGCTTCAATTTGGTGAATTTTAGTGTATCGGTCAGCTCTCATGACAAAAATGCTGTGTAACAACTCATTTCTCATCAGGTAAGCAAATCATGCAAGCTTTCTTCATCAGGCACACACATCTTAAAGACTGGTTACAGCTTGACTAATCGTAGCTGTGGCTATGTGGCTTGAGATCAGTTTTATACCACTGTATTCCCCTGGTCTGCTCTCTGTGCATTCTGGGACCCAGACTGGGCTTTCCCAGACCCAATGTCCACACAGGAGGTGCTCTTAACATGATGTGTTCTCAAAGTATTTCCTTAGCTTTGGAAAATCACCTGAGAGTATGAGGACAAGTGGGAAAATCCAACACCTCTTCAAGACTTGGCATAATCTTAGCACACTCACTTCTGCCTCCACCAAACAGGCCTGAGCTAGTCACACACTGAAGCCTACCACAGGGATTGGGCACATGCTCTGTTTAGTGTAGTTGGAGACATGGTACAGTCATGGAGAAGGGGCAGATGAGAAATTTTGAAATAGGGAGGGATTAGAGAAATGTAGCTATGACTCAGTCTACAACACTTGGTAATACAATTTTCTGTGAAAAATACCTTAGTCCTAGGAGCCTCACATAGAGTGCAGTAGATGATTTTTGGCAAAATAAAAACAAGCAATCAATATCAGTCAGATATTGGTGACTAAACTCTGAAGTAAAGGCAGGGGCAATAACAAAAGTCTAGGCATATGTTGTCTTGGGGAGAGAGGAGCTTAGGAAAGCAAAGCAGTAGATATTGTTAGATATTGGTCATGTTTTCCTTTTTGGTTTGAGTGATGGATTTGTGGGTGTTCATTCTGCCATATAAAAACAGAGATGAGTCATTCATGAACCAATGATGGGAGAGTTATGAACTAGGAAAGGGTGACATTTAGTCCCACTCTAGGCATCTAAGGATCCTGAGAAATGGAAAAGGCAAGCAAACAAAAATCTCAAGTAAACCTAAAGTCAGAGAAAGTTCAGTAGGTGTTTTGAATTTGGTGACTGATTAGGAAAGGGCTGAGGTGCTGTGGATGGGATTACTCCTGAAGTCCAGCTTCAGTGGTAGGACTTTCTGGCATCTGAACTCAGTGACAATGAATGGCTGTTGGGTCTAGTGAGGCTACCTCCCAGCCTGCAGGGAGCTCACCTACTGCAGGGCTTGCTT